TGGGCGGGTGTTGTGGGCGGGTGTTGTGTGGACATTGCATTATGGGTACGAGCCAAGGTGGTGCATTGGTTAGGGTGCAGTACTGCAGGCCACTTCAGCTGACTGTTATCTGCTGTTCAGCGGTTCTAATCTCACCGGCTCAAGGTTGACTCAGCCTTCCATCCTGGGTGAAATGTGGGTGAAATGAGGACCCGGACTGTGGGGGCGATATGCTGACTCTGTAAACCGCTTAGAGAGGGCTGAAAGCCCTATGAAGCGGTATATAAGTCCAACTGCTATTGCTATAGCTATTCCGTGCATGGAGCATACGGCACCTGCGTAATGCTCCGCCTAGCAGCTGGAGCGTTGTGGAGGAATTGCGGAGGTAAGGACACATGTGCGCATGTACATGTCGGGGATGCTGAACCCCGTTGCATTATACCGGTTGCAATGGGATCTGGAACCCACCACTGATATGCACTCAAGAGAGTTTAAACTTATTAGAGGTAATCACCCAATAATATATCAGATAGCTGAGTAAAATAAGAGGGTTAAAAATGGTTAAACTCAAAGGAAATTTATTCGAAGGGGAAATAACATAAGGAGAATTGTACCGATTTGAAACTGCTATTAGAAGGAGCATGAAGTTCCAATGTACTGCGTAAATGTAGTTTACGTCTGAGTTATCTCTGTGTGTATTTTGTATGTTTGTAAATAAAAAAATTTAAAATAATAATACAATAATAATAAATGATAAAAGAAAAAAAAAGGGATGAGATGGAACTTCCACAAAATGAGGTGACAATGGTGAGGTGAGGGTTTTTATACTAAGCAAGTGTTGGGGAAGAGCCATAACTGTCTTCTACTTTGGCAAAAATAGTCACTTTATCCACCCTTGTTTCTGGATGACAAGAATTTGTGCTTCATCCAGCCTGTTCACTGTGTATATCAGCCTCTGCCATCCTCAGAGGCTCTACAAAGCCAAGGTCACATGCCTGGAAGGGGGAGAGTGCAGAGGCACTGCATTCTCTCCTCCTCCTGCTGTGTCATGCACAGACAGATGTACCCAGCCACTTGCTAAATGTGACTCTGGCATGTGCCCTACTTATTCAGTCACTGAAAAAAAGAAAGGAAAAGAGCAAGATTTATCATATTTCATCTTTACCAGCCCAGATTTGAAGTTATTGGTAACATTCTCCATTGGTTATGGCAGTAGAACCCGTCTTCTGTCATTTTTTTTTTCCTAGAAAATTTTTTATTTTCCATTTTCATAGCATATAATCACATGTGTACTATTACATAGTCGATATCATGTTGTATT